ATTATCTTTGGAGAAAATACCATGTTAGATTCCCTGATGAAATCATTCTTGAATTGGGTTAATGTGTAAGAACATTGTTTTATACTACCAATTGATCTCTCAAAGTGATGACTTTTTCCATATTCTGTGTACTATTGAGCATGTTGTGTCTTTTTAAAAAACAAAAATGAACAAAAATATTTTTAAAAGTGTAAATATTTATTACCATCAAACTTGGAAAATGGAAAGTATTTTATTGTCATGATTGAAATTAGATTGTTAACCTGTATTTTGTTCAGGATTGAAACACATAAATGATTCTGCCTGTGATAGAAAAGAATATAGACTCTTGCCTCATCTGTTTTCCTGTAGATGTTTTATATTTGTTAATTCTATTTTACAAAGTAGGAAAGGGACTGATACTTCTGTTCCTGTATTTTCTTTTATGGGATGAGATTTCTTCTGATCACATTTCTGTTTAAGGTTCTATTAATTGAAGCCCAGGTTTGTTTTTTTTTTTTTTTTGGCTCAAGACAATACAGTGATAGCCTAGGTTTTTTTTACTTTGCATATTTGATTTTGTTTTCTAGTTGGATTTGAAACTGGTATGATTTTATTTGAAATTAAGCTAAGATACAACTTGAGGTCAGAATTATTTGAAGGGACAAAAATACATACAGATGTTACATAATGTTGTGAAAATTTTTCCTATGAATTGGTCTTTTCATTGTTTGTGCCCTCGCTTTAGATAATCTGATATTCAAAGTTAGACTGAACTGTATCACACAGGATTAAGGCAGTAATTTCCAGCTTCAGTAGATCAGGGGTCGGGTAGGGCATTCACTGATAATTCTGATTCATAGCTAAATTTGGGAAACATAGTATTAGAGAATAGCTATATGTGGTTTGGTGAATAGAGCAAAGTCTTAGGAATTGAGAGTTATGAATTTAAACTGTGGTCAGGGGTGTTTTGGATTGAAATGACCTTAGCTCTCAAGGATTAATTTGTTCTTCATTGTCAAATGAGGAATGAGCCAGTTGCCACTTGCTTAGGTTGTTTCATAAAGACATACTTACCAATGAATTTGTTGAAAATTTATAGAGCTCCTATTGTGAGGGTTTAAGAGGCGATTGGTATTTTTCTCTTAGTGTAAGAATTGGAGGAAAAAAGCTGATCATACAAAATTTCTCACACTTATAAAATTTCAGTGTGGGCTCCTGGTCAATACCTGTATATAATAACCTGTGATCTAACCAGTTCAACGATAGCTTAATTACCAGTGAGCAAATGGTATTTGATATTTGGCAAGTTTGATAATTTATTTTACAGTAAATCCTCTGGTGAAATCTAAAATAATGTTAATTAAATCTTTAAACATAAATATTGTGTATGATGTAGTCTTCAACATGTATTTATCAAGCTAACTCTTTGAAGGAATGTGTTCAGGACAGAAAAACATACAAAAGTTTTGGTTATTTGTAAACTAACGCTTTTTTTGTGTTTATATTTAATTAAGAGACTTAGTTTCATTTGTTATAATTGAAGGAAAAAGGCTTTACCTAATTAAGAAAACACCAATTATCAGTAGCTATGAACTCAAAAATAAATACTTTAAAATGTATATATGTATAAGCAAAAGACCACTTGAGTAAAATGTTCCAAAAGAGTTAGTTTTAAAAAATGTTCATTTAAAACTTTTACATTTCTGCTGCTTTTCTTTTTGGGAGCATTAGTTACTGATATGGAAAGAAGATTTACAACCATTTTTAACTTTTTTAATACTAAAGGTTTATGGTAAATATGGCAGAAGCATTAGTTTATAAACTTCTACAAAATTTTTTTGTACCTTCATAGGTTATCTGTTGCTCGGTTATCTGTTGCAGTCACTATAAATCTTTTCTTAGTTGAACACCTTTCCTGGAGTTGTAGTAGAGCTGGAACTCCTATTTTCACATTGCTGTGAATGTCAATTGAATGAAAAGCTCAGTCCTCTAGACCCTAACATCATCTTCTTTCTTTTAATATGGGATTTTCTTAATAATCTTTGATCTGTAAGTTTCTTTTGTATAACTGATTTAGGACCTTAATGTGAAAGGCCATTAATGTAAAAATGTTTTATAAATTGAGTTAAGTACAAATGTAGAATAAGATGAATGGTACTCCACTGCTTCCTAAAATCTAACAGCTTTTTTGATACATCCACTTAATTCTTTTGAACCTCCTCATTACTAGTTCTCAGCTTCATTTTTTTTCTATTTTTATACTTTCCTTCCTCCTTCCTTTTTCTTCCTGTCTTTGTTCAACCAGTGGCACCTAATAGCACCTATGGACATGATCTTACTAGGAGTTTCTGGATTAAAGTAGGAATTGACCTTTCCCATGGGCCATATAATAACATACTTTCTGTCTATATGTAATTACCACACAATTACTCATAAACTCTTCTCAAAAGGGAAGTAGGTATTTTCTTTGAATCTATTTCCTTGTGTTTTGTAGATCTTGGAAATCTTGCCTCATTAAAGAGAATAAACAAAAATTTTAAACCAGCATTTAAAAAAAAATTTACCTGTATTTGTGACAAAATATAGGACAGCCTAAAATGTATGTGGCTAGACAACATTTTGATAGTGATACTTCTATACCTTGTAAGGAGCACAGGGTAGAGAAAATTTTGGTAGCAGTTTAATCTTTTCCTCAGGGTCAGGTTGTCAGTATGATTTCATTCTTTTGTATGAAATATTATTAATTGCCAAAATGATAAATACAACCCTCTTCACATGTACCAGAATGCATTCCACAGTAGAATTTGAATGGTTGAAACACCTCCATTGGTCCACTTAACAAAATTAACTTAACAAAATAATCTTGACTATTTCTAATCACTGTAAAGAATCATGACCACAAATAAATTGCATGAATTTGTTTGTATACTAGGTTGAATCATCTTCTACCAGTGATATCTTTTTTGCTCGGTAGTTTGTTGAGGTGGAACTGTGAAATTAAAGATGAAAGCCACAGAGAAATGACAACCTCAGGTAGTCTCCATTAATGTTAAGAAATTACAGACTTAATATTTGGGTATGGTTGGAAAATGTTGGATATTTCTCCAAAGTTACTTTTTTTTTTAAAAAAATTATTTTTTAGTTATAAGTGAACACAGTATCTTTATTTTGCTTTATGTGGTGCTGAGAATGGAACTCAGTGCCTCTCGCATGCTAGGTGTGTGCTCTATTTCTGAGCCATGATTCCAGCCCCCAAAGTTACTTCTTCATGACATAAAAAACACAAGCTGAAAGTTTAGTTGCTTTGCTTGTCCTTTCAGGAAAATTGTTTGTTTAATAGCATAGGGGAGTGATCTCAGTGTGGAGTATAGTAAAAATTCAGGTGAAGTTTCTATACATAAAGTTGAAGAAACACAAGACATTTATTTTGTAGGGATCCTAATGTCTTTTATCATATAAATATTACACAAGGAAAACTTACATCAAGTATCAAAAAAAAAAGAACTTTACAATCTGTACATTTTTTTTCCCTTGCAGTTCTTTTACATTATACATCTTTAGACAGAAATTCACAAATGGTCAGGGAAAAGGTGGGACAATTAACAAAGAAAAGGAGAAGTGACATTGCTATATTTAAAGAAAAATAAAATTCCTTGTTTTGACAGATCTATTTGTGCCCAAATTTATGTGAGAAACAAAAATTTGCAACCTAGGTTTGATAAACAAAAACTTGTTTCAGATTATTTCTATAGATTCCACCAGACCCTGTAACTCAACATGAATAATATTAACTTATACAACATAATTTGGCTCTTGCTGAACTGTAAAAACCTGTAATGAAATTATTACCTTCTATTCATTTTGATGGTAGATTGTGCAGTGCTTGAGACTATCTAGTCATAATTTGACTAAGGGGACTATGACCTTTTGAAGTCCTACATATAAAGATTATTTACATTAAAAAATAATTTAGGGGGTCTTTATTTTGGATGGGAGAGTAAGAAGAATGAAAAAATTTGTTTCTGTGACTCTTTAAAAAATTGAGTTACACAGCCTTTTTGGTCTTTATAAGAGGAAAATAATAGTGAAGAATACAATTTTAAAATTTGTCACATGCGTATTTGTTCCATATAAACTATGTAACAGTGCTATAATGAGGTGGTAGACCTGAGTAGCCCTGCTTTGAGGATTTCTGATTTTGGACTTAGAAAAGATAAATTTGTGTGTAAAGTGATTTTTTAAAATGTAATGAAACACCAACTATAAGCTAGTTCTGTGTCAGTAAAACTCAGTACAAAGAAGTGTTCAGATGGAAAGTAGGTTTTCATAAACTACTTGAGTGATCTGAATCCTCCAAGTAGGCAACACAGGATGTGTGTGTGTGTGTGTGTGTGTGTGTGTGTGTATGTATACACTTTGCATTGTTATGAAGACTTGGTACTACTAGCTTTAGGTTTGAGACTTTCAGTTAAAATTATATTCTTGGCAGTTGGTTATTTTGTATAGGAATTCCAAGTCGGCCTGATACCAGGCTTTCCAAGCATGAAAATCCCTCCCCCCCAAAAATGGTTATATGATTTTTAAAAATGGAACTAAAATAAGGCTGATATGGAGTGTGTGAATACTTGGCTAGGCAACCAAATGATCCCATTTATCATTAATCATCATATTAGGGTACTCCTGGGACTGTTGTTATTTTTGCCAAACAATAACAATTTACATTTAAGCAGTTTCTTCATCTTCTAACAAACAGAACTATATATTTATGAATTTGAAACAAAAAGTCACATTTGTGAATAAATGACTAAAGGTTGTTCAATTCACTTCCACATTTTTGAAGGAAAAAAAAGTCCCAAGCCACATGCATATCTGATAGTGTATATACATGTTATGTACATATGTACATGCTGTCAACTATTATTTAAGCCACTAATCCAATTAGCTTATTTCTAAATAGTATTACTAGTAAAGACAGTTTAAGCACAAATTCAGAGGACTTTAAAAATATATATATATATATATATGAGGACAAACATGTTCACATTGTTTTAGCTCATTAAGCCAGTCATGTATGAGATGGGAATAGCTATGTTTCCAGGTATTGGATTTGATTACCTATAATGACTTAAGACTAGAACAATGAGTTGACCTGCAGACCTGCAATTGGATAATGTTGTGTTGTTTACTAGGTCCCTAAAAAGCCATGGCTGCATTTCTGGAAATTTATTTCTAGGTAGATATGCTCGTGTGTATGAGCACAGTGAGAAAGGAGGGGAAAGAAGCTAATTGATTAGGTCTGAGGTAGTGAAGCAGAAACCAGATTCACAAGGCGTGCTGGCATGTAGGAGTCAATCTGCTTTGGAATTGGGTATTTTTTCATTATGAACAAAAAAGTTGGGTGGAACAAATTAAATTCCTTAGTTTACAGAAAACTCAGGGAAGGAAGCAAATTCATTTTCCAGAGATTTTAGTTCTCAAGAAGAATCAGTTGAGCATGCCACATGAGATGCTACCCTTTCAGGAAACTGTAATCATGTTTTAGCACACTTTTGGTGTTAGTCCCAGAAAGGGAAAATAGTATGAATACCAAAAGTTTCTCATTCTTCAGCTTTCCTCCCCTTTGAGCCAATTGATTAAAAGAGGAAACCGTGCTACAGATTAGGAATCTTTTAGGTAAAAACAAATAACAAAAACTGCTTTTCCTTTTTAAAGTACCCTCTTTAAACAGTCCATGTAAGGTTAATCAGTGAAAGAATAGATCTCCAGTATACTCATCTACAAATTGTGCTTCTTGAGTTTCTGGGCTAAGAACAGTCACCTTGCTCCATTTGTGCTAAGACATGATTGGTTTTTTCAAGCTGGAGAGATTCTATTTTCTTCTGTGCATATTTCAGCTGGATCTTTAGGGCATCATTATCTGCTTTCAGGGTATTTATTTCCTAAAGGGAAAGGAGAATAAGGTATGTTAATAAAGCAGCAATGAATAGCAAATCAGTTAAAGTATTGGAAGCACTACACTTGATTGGCATCTCCTATTCACTATGGTTGAGAATTAAAAATAGTTATTTTGCCCTGAATATAAAATAACATGTAAATATTAAATAAGCATGTACAAACAGCAATTAGTCTTTGTTATCATATCACAGATGTGAGTGGCTAGCAAGCAGAATAAACCATTCCTGGGCAGTGGGTGGAGGATGACAAAACCTTTAGACATTGTGTAGTAGATCTTAACTTGGCAGAAAAAAAGTCTGGTGAGATCTGAGCTGTGAAAAAAGTGCTTGCAGATTCTATGTTATAGTTTATTTAATCTAAGACCCTCTCCAAGTCATTGAAACTAGTATATCCTTTTGATGAAGATAAAAATTTTTACTGCACCCCCTAAACTGGGATTTAGTGATCTAATTTGTAGAGATTTAATTACAGAGTCATCAGTTTATTTCCAAGCTTCTGATTTTGAAGCCAGTGTTTATAGATTGCATTGCACTGATTACACCAAAAGAATATGTGGGTGGTGTCTGGACAATTAAGGATAAATTGGGTTGTTTTTCAGCCTGAAGTACCTGGTTTGCTGTCCATTGGCTACCATATAATATTGAGTATGTGCTCGTGCTTTCTTACATGATGACAGACTATCTTAACCCTCCACTCACTCTGAAAATAGGTGGTAGATCTAGATTTAAATAGAAGCAGAAAACATTGCTATATAGTGTCAGACTGGAGATTGGAACTTGGGTACAGGTGACCCAAGAAACTTTGCTTTTTCTTTTGTCCCATGCTGATTCAGAGGTACACGTAGACTAAAACAACATGTCATGTTTATTCATATTTCTATTCATATATTACATGCTACTTTAAAATACTGGTATAATTTAACTAGTTTCTTGTGGATAGAATTGTCAAATTACAAACAAGTCTTTATAAGGATTTTATTTAATTGAAAAGTGGGACATGTTATTGTTACTCTAAAATGTACTACTGAATTACGGTCCTGAAGTCTCTTTGGCATGGGTAAAAATAAAGAGAGCAACCATGAAAATGTTTAGGGGGTTTGCTGGCCCTGGGTAGGAATTATCCTGGACCTAATTTATCTGAAATCTTTCTGCTAGCTACATTATTCAGTTCATAGGCATGTAAAATTTCAAGATTTGAAACCTTAACATGCAACTCCATTTTTGTATTTTATAGAAGACCAAAGAAACATCTAGGATTGGAAACAAATCTTTGCCTCCAAGATCAAAGTCCTTTTAACTTTATCAAGTTTATTTTTCAAGCTTTCTTTCACTGTTTATAAAATTTCTGTTTGGTAACTTTTATCCCTAAGGAAAAAGGGCTTTATGTAACCATGGTTGGTTACTTGATTCCTAAAGTGAATCTTAATACTTTAAATAAGAAGTCTTCCCTTTTATCCAGGAAATCTCTTGTTTTGTTTTCATGTTTTTCCTAATATTATGTTCTTCATTCCAGGCATCAAATCAAGAGTTTCGCAAACATATCTAACTTGTTTCTTCAAAAGTTTCTCTAATTCTGTTCTGTGGAGTTTGACAGGGAAGGTGTGATGTTGAGAACAGTGCAGGGAATCCTGAGGCCGGCTGGGCAGTTTCACTGTATAGTCTGTAGAATTAGATAAGGAATTCGAACTAGGTGGATGTTTGTACTGCTATATGTCTCCCAACATGTATTGCAAACCTTGATGTTTTGGGAAAAGGCAGACAAGCACTCCTCCCCTTTAATAAAATGAGGGATAATGTTAAAACTAATATATCCTTGCTTCCTTGTTTCTAAAATGGCTTATTGCCTATAATTGGCAATGTTGTTCTTCCCTTTCTCCCTCCCCTCCTTTATTCTATTAGTAATAATCTGAGTTGAATCTTCAGAATCTTCAGTTTACATGTTCTGCCCTGTTTAGTTGTACTTTACCACAAGACTCTGAAAAATAGTGAAATGAACAGGTACCTGTTCCAGCTCTTGGTAGGTTGGGAGTCTGAGGTGACGGAGCTCTTCTTTTGATTTAATGAGGGATTCTTTATTTTCCCACTTGACAAAAGCCCGCTTTCTGACCAAGACTGGGCTGGGGCATGGAGATGTGGGACTGGGAAGCACATAAAGGGTGTCCTGGGCTGTCCTCCTTGGAGAAGACAACACAAAGTGACCTGGAGGGCCCTCACTGCCAATCCAAGGAAGTGACTCAGTCTGGGTAGTCTTGTGGGCAACAGTTCTCTTCAGACGAACAGAAATCTTCTGTGAGGACACTCCCATCAACATGATTGTTCGGTCCTTATTCTCCTCACTGTGTTCCACCATTTCCCCATTAGGGAGTGTAAAAGAGCCTTCCTCAGGTGCTATGGGAAGACACACAGTGAGTTAGTATTCTCAGAAAAGCAGAGACTCAAGATACTCACATGAGTTTCACATGAGACATGTCTTGCTATTACAGGAACTCCTCATTTCCAAAGCCTTCATTTGCAGGTATCCATGCAGGGGGTAAGTGGAGGCTGAAACCCAGGGATTTCAAACTACAGGCTTTTTTCCTGTTTGTAAAAAGGTTGCCTGGAGAGTTAGTGTTTCTGCAGGTAAGTTGGAATCCCTGTCTGAATGCTGCAAAGTTTCATCAATTCAGAAAAGATCCCATTTGTATAATAGACACAGCTTAAATATGAGGGAAAAGTTAGCTTTGTGGAAGTATGTTCCAAAATATATCACTCTTGTTTGATATTGATACAAAAGAACAGATGTGTCATTCTGAGTCTTTTCATTGAACCAATATACCTCCCTAGGACCCAGCATGGAAATGTTAACCATAAAGAGAATCTCCTAGAAAAGTAGAGTATTTGAGATGAATGGTAGGCTTTAAGGTAAACTGCAGGTCAACTAAGTTTATTGTTTGCAAAGACTCAGCACTAAGTGTGGGTTCTCTGAAAAGTCCTATTATGTCCTAGACAACACTTTACACACAAATTTTGGATTATTTCATTAAATGGGGACGAAAAAATCCTACCTTCCAAACTTTGGGGAATGATATGCCTATGTGAAAGTGTACATTTGTATTAAAGTTTTTGGTTTTTTTCCTGTTATAGATTTTTTAGTTAAGACATTGGATTTAATCCCGGGCCTTACAAATGCTAGGCACTGGGTTACATCCATCCCAACCTTTTATTTTCTTATGTTTTTATTTTGAGTCAGGGTCTTGCTAACTTGCCCAGGCTGGCCTCAAACTTGATCCTCCTACCTCAGCCTCTTAAATAGGTGGGATTATAGGTATGCCGCCAAACTTGGCTTATTTTCCTACTTTTTAAGTTAATGCATATTAAATGTACATATTGATGATCGATCATGTCCAACTACCCATTCTTCTACCCTCCTCCTGACCCCCACTTCTTAGTCCCTATAATCACTATTCTACTTTTAAGTCAACTTTTTTTTAATTTACACATACGAAAGATAATATGCAATACGTTTCTGTGTCTGGCTTATTTTGATTAACATGTTATCTTCCTGTTTTATCCATTTTGCTGCAAATAACAATTTACTTTTCCTTATGGCCTAATAACATTCAGTTGTGTTCATATACCATATTTTCTTTATCCATTCATCTTGGCAGTCACCTAGGCTGGTTCTATATCTTTGTTACTGTGAATAGTGCTGCAGTAAATTTGGCAGACAGATATATTTTTCATTTGCTAGCATCACTTTCTTTGGATATGTGCCAAGAAATGAGATATCTAGATTATATGGTAGTTCTAGTTTTAGTTTTTTGAGGAACCTCCATACTGTTTTCTGTAATGTTTGTATTCATTGAGTTCCCCTTAACAGTGTATAAGAGTTCCTTTTCTTAACATCCTTTTTAGCATGTGTTAGTGTTTTTTTTTTTTCAATTGTTATTCTAACTGGGACGAAATGGTATCTCATAGTTCTCATTTGCATTTCTCTAGTGGCTAATGATATGGAACATGTTTTAATATACTTATTGGCCTTCAGAAAATTCTTCAGAAAAGTACTCAGATAATGGGTCCATTTTTTAAAAACTTAGATTATTTGTGTTTTTTTTGTAAAGTTTTTTAGGTTCTTTATATATTCTGGATATTAACTAAATAAACAGCTGGAAGTGGTTTTTTTTTGCATATTATCTCTTCACTCTTTTTTTCTATACAGAAGCTTTTAAATTTGATATAATACGGATTGCTTTGGCTATTTGGGGTCTTTTGTGCTTATGTATGGATTTTAGGATTATTTTTTTTTCTGGTTCTGTAAAGAATGCCATTGGTGTTTTGATGCGATTACATTGTATTTGTAATGTAATGGATTGGAAGAATATTGTTAAAGTGTCCATGCTACCCAACATCAGTACAAAAATCCTCAACAAAATAGCATCTCAAATTCAACAGCACATCAGAAATATCCTACAAAGATGGTTCAACATTTGCAAATCAATAAACATATCACAAACAGAATGAAGGATAAAAATCATTATGATCAACTCAATATTTGCAGAAAAAGCATTTGATTAAAATTCAATATCCTTTCATGGTAAAAACATTGAACAAATTAGGTATAGAAGGATCATATCTCACTCAATATTATAAAGTATATGTATGACTGGCCCCCTTATATGTACTTTTGCCTGATTGCTCTAAAACTTCTAGTACTTATCGAATAAGTGAGAGTAGTTCCCATTGTCTTGTTCCTGATCTTAAAGAAGATGCTTTAATTTTATCCCCACTGGTATGAAGTTGGCTGTGGGCCAGTCATATATATACACTTTATAATATTGAGATACGATCCTTCTGTACCTAATTTATTCAAGGTTTTTACCATGTAAGGATATTGCATTTTAATCAAATGCTTTTTCTGCAAATGTTGTGTTGATCTTGATTTTTATCTTTCATTCTGTTTATGTGATATATTTATTAATTTGTGAATGTTGAGCCATCTTTATATACTTAGAAGGAAACCAACTTGATCATGGTGTAGGATATTTTTGATGTGCTGTTGAATTTGAGATGCTGTTCTGTTGAGGATTTTTATATTGATATTCCTCAGGGATATTGGTCTGTAGTTTTTTGTTGTTATGTCCTTGTCAGGTTTTAGTGACACAGTAATGCTAGTCTCAGAGAATGTATTTGGCAGGGCTCCCTCTCTTTTAATTCTGTGGAACAGTTTGAGAAGCATTGGTGCTAGTTCTTTAAAACTGTTGAATTCAGCAGTGAAGCTTCCAATTATGGGATTTTCTTTTTTGGGAGATGTTTGTGTTTGCATTTTTTAACTGATTCTGTCTCATTACTTGTTATAGGTTTGTTCAGGTTTTGTATCCTGTTGGTTCAGTTTTGGTAGGTCATATAACTTTGTCTATTTCTTCTAGATTTTCCAATTGGTTAACATGTTTTTTTTTCAAATAATTCTTAATAATACTTTGTATGTCTGTAATGTCAGATGTAATGTCTCCTTTTTCACTTCTAATTTTTTTTATTTGGGTCTTCACTTTTTTCTTATAAAGGTTTGCCAGTTTTGTTTATTTTTACAAAGAACCCTTTGAGTAAGTGATGCTTTGGTTTTTTTTTTTTTTTATTCATTTATTTCTGCTGATTTTTTTCCCCTTAATTTTTGGTCTGGTTTGTTCTTTTCTAAGCCTTTGAGATACATCATTAGGTTGTTTATTTGAAATTTTCTTAAAAAATTTTTTTTTAATGTAGGCATTCATTGCTAGAAATTTCCATGTTAGTGCTGCTTTTGCTGCATTCCACAGGTTTTGGTCTGTTGTGTTTTCATTTTCATTTGCTTCAAGAAATTTTTAAATTTCCCTTCTGACTTCTTCAATGTCTCACTGTTCATTCAATTGTTCAGCCTCTGTGTACTCATATAATTTCTAAAGTTTCTCTTATTGTTTCTTGTTTTATTCCACTATGATCAGAAAAGATATGTGGTTCAGGTTTGTTTTTTTTTTTTAATTGTTAAGACTTGTTTTGTGGCCTTGATAGTACTTGATCTATTCTAGAAAACATGTTCTGATGAAAAAAATCGATAATTTGAAGCTGTTAGAATGTTCTATAAATGTCTATTAAGTCCATTTGATCTATAATAGAATTTAACTCTGATGTTTCTTTGTTGATTTTGAGGGGGTTAGTATCTGTCCATTAATGAGAGTGAGATATTGTACTAGAGCCTATCCTGTTAGATCTAATTGTGTTTATCTTATTAAATTGGCTGCTCTGGCATTTGGTGCATATAGATTTACAATTGCTATATTTTCTTGAGGACTTAATCTTTTAATCATTATATAGTGAGCTTATTTGTCTCTTTTTACAACTTTTAAAGTTTACTTTGTCAGAAATATAAGTACAGCTATGCTTCCTTGCTTTACAATTCCATTTTCTTGAAATATCATTTTCTATCCTTTCACATTAAGTCTGACTGTACTAGTGAGGTGAGTTTCTTGTAGCCAGCATATTGTTGGGTCTTCTTTTTATTCACTCAGCCAGCCTGTATATTTTAATTGGAGAATTTAGTCCATTTACATTCAAGATTATTGAAAGATAAAGATTTGTGCTTGTCATTTTGTTGAGTTTCTACTAGTTGTTTTGCATATTCTTTGTTCTTTTCTCCCTCTTTTAATCATCTTTGTGATTTGATGATTTTCCATATTGTAATGGTTACTTCTTTTCTGTTTCTTTCTTGTGTATGTACTCTTCTAGTGGGATTTGAATTTAATGCTATCATTATGGTAGTCATCTTTCTTTCACTTAGGGATATAGGACTCCCTAAAGCATCTTTTGTAAGGCAGGTCTGTTGGTCCAGAATTCCCTGATTTTGCTCATCTTAGAAGGTCTTTGTTTCTGAAGGATATACCTTTGCTGGGTATGGTAATCTCAGTTGGCAATTATTTTCTTTCAGAATTTGGAATATTCATTCTCTCCTGGCCTATAGGTTTTCTGCTAAGAAATCTGTTAGTCTAATGGGGAACTCCTTAAATGTGACTGGGTGCTTTTCTCTTGAGATTTTAAAGTTACTTTTTTGTCCTGTATTTTTGATAGTCTGAATATAATGCCATAGAAAATATCTTTTCTGATCTCCTACTTAGAGTTCTATAAACCTCCTATACACGGATGGATGTCCGTATCTTTCCCTAGGGCAATTTTGTGATTTTATTCATAAGGGCAATTTTGTGATTTTATTCATTTAATAAGTTTTCTACCCCCATTAACCTTCATTTCCTCACATTGAATGTTCCAGTGATGCAGATGTTTGATTGTTTAATGTTGTCTCAAGATCCTGAATGCTCTCTTCTTTTTTTTTTTTTTTCTGTCTAAATGTGTCATTTCAAAAGACTTGTCTTTAAGCTTTATGTTCTTTCTTCCCCTTGATCTACTGTTATCTCGGCTTTCAGCTGAATTTTTTATTTCATTTATTGACCTCTTCATTCCCATGATTTCTGTTTGGTTCTTTTTTAGAATCTCCATTTATTTGTGGAATTTCTCATTCATATCCTACATTTTCTTCCTACCTTAGCTATATAGCTATATTTTCTTGGATCTTAGTAAGCTTTTAAAAAATCATTCTTTTGACTTATGAGGCATTTAATCCATTTTGGTTTCTTTGGACTCTGTTACTAGAAAGATATGATCTTTTGGAGGGTGTCATAGTACCTTGTTTTTTCATATTTCTTGTGTTCCTCTGTTGAAATTTGTCCTTCTTGTAGATGTGACATCTCTACCACTTTTATGGAGTAGCTTTCTTTATAAGCAGCTTTCTCCTGAAATGTGTCTTAGGGTATTGGTTTGTAATACCCTATTTCCAGCTGGGCACCATGGTGTAGTCTCCCTGAAGTTTCTTTGGCTGTGATTAGTGAATGTAGACACTGTGTTCAAGTCATAGAGACTTATTGTCTCTGCAGCTCATGCAAGAATGGGACACACTAATGGTTCAAATCAGGTATGGTATAGACAGCATAGAGTGTGGGTTGCACACTTTGTAGCTACTACCACTATAGAAGTGGTGGCCCCTGTTATATGATAGAGGTTTGCTTAGGCACTGGTGATACTGGCTTTGTTACTTATAAGAGTATTTGGTATTGGTTGCATCAGTTCTGACACGGGACCTGAAGTACTTCTGATCAGACAGTGGTATTGACCTAGGTGCTTCACCAGGATAGATGGGGACAGGAATCACAGCAACCCCTCCATGGAACTTACACCCAGTCCTGCCAGCAGTGTGTGATCAAATAAGGTGCAGGGGTAGCCAGTGGTGGAAAGGTTTGTCATGTTTCTGTCTGCTGCATGCCCACCTAGGAGCAGGAACCCTTAGTTGTGTGCCAGGGGACTGGGTGACAGCTGGGGCTTTGTATCCTCTTACTCTTTAGCTGTAGTTTCTACCAGGGAGTGAGTAGAATTGTGTCCCAGTTGAAACTAGCAAAATTTCTCTCAAAGTCTCCCTTGACTTGTGTGCCAAGGAACAGAGTGACTGCCAGGGCCACCCCTCAACTCTGTCAGCAGAAGGCCCCCATGAATAAGGGCAGAACATGGCTGGTGCCAGCCAGTTTCTATCTAGACCTCTTTAGGTCATGTTGGGGGGTGGGGAGGAACAGATGGAGTGCTCCATAGCTCCATGAGTGTGGTGGTACACACCTATAATCCCAGTGACTTGGGAGGCTAAGGCAGGAGGGTCCCAAGCTTAAGATCTGCGTCTGCAACTTAACTGCTTTGTCTTAGGAGGCTGAGGATATAGTTTAGTGGTAGAGGAGCTCCCCTGGATTCAATCCCTAGGCTTACAAATAACAAAGAAAGAAAAAAGCCCAGCACACAGCAGTGGAACCACAGCTCTTTCCTGTTAGTGATGGGCTCATCTGCTTTCAGTCCTGGCACCGGTGTGAATCTGCATGCAATTGGTCATGCCCCTGGGCTAGCAGGGCAGGCTTCCTGATTTCCTGGTTCTTGAGGGCAGTACCTTCTGTTCCTGTGTAGCAATATCTATCCCCTGCTGTGAAGAGCACTCAGCAGATTTGAATCGGAGACACTCTACTGAACACTCTACTGAACCGCATTTGGTTCATGAGGTAGCTATGCACTGAATCATTGCAGTGGAGTGTCTATGAGGTTCCTAGAATTGGTCATATGCAAGGTTTTCTGACCCTTAGAGCAGTCCAAATTCAAACTGTAGCTCCCTTCTTAAGATGGTTTCTTGCTGTAACATTCTGGAGGTTCACTAGGAGATGCAAAATCCTTTTCCAGAGCAAGTCTGCTGTGCAAATCTCAGGTTACACTCTGTAGTTAGACTGCAATCCTTAGAGGGTTGTGAAACCCTCTGTTAGCTAGGATTGCCAGTATCTGTACCAATAAGAGTTTTCTGGAACTTTTTCACCTTTACCCCTGCATAGGGGAGATTTCCCTTCTGACTGTGGAGTCATGTGGCAAGTGTTGGGATATTTGTTTCTCTTACTCTGCTGTTGTTCTTCATCTCTGAATCTTACAAGGTTTTTGTTTATCTTATTTCCAGTTTACTCCCACATTCACTGTACTGAAAATACAGCTGTATACCTGTTATATTGGTTCTTTATGGAGGTGCAGGTGCTAGGTGCCTCTCTTTAGCCATCTTGAACTCCCCTATTCTTTTACTTTTCTTTAACCCAGTTATACTATTTTTACCAATCACATTTCCCCAATTATGAATATAACATCTATTATTTTGTTCAAATTCCTATACATACAAGCAGCTTAGAATAAAAGAAGGCAAATAAGAAAAAAGCAACAGAAACTAAAATTACAGAAAGAGTTCCAAGACACTGCTGTGTTATAAAAACCAAAAGAGCTATAAATTTCAAGAAGTGAAAATTCATCCATAAAAAAAATTTACAGTGAAGTGATGGGCTAAGAAAAAGTCATTGGCAATTTTGATTTGATAAGAAGGTGTGCTATCCCAGAAAATAATTATTAATGCTAAGATGGAAGCAGTTTGAATGGAGGATAATAGTCTCTCTTTTCTGTACTCCTGTCATTTGTGTCACTGCAGTCTATTTGACTCTTGGCACATACCCTTCTACGTTGTTTCTAACCTGCTCCTTGTTTGTATAGTATCTTTGCTAAGTAGACAGAGGCAGACATTTCTGCTGCTTTGCAGTTTGGACCTGGGGAATCTCAGAGACAGTTTAAAAATCACTTTCTTATTCTATTATTTGCATTTTGACACAAGCACATTTATATTTCAATTGTTGAAATTTTTGGCTTAGTCCTAGGATTGCTTAGTCCTTGTATGATTTGGAATTTTAATCTGCAAATTTGTCTTGAGAGTTTTGCTTATTCTCTTCCTTTTGTGTCTACTATTCTATTTCTAGAATTTTGACAGTTATTTCCTTCTGTCCTCATTGAGTCCCCAGTCTAAGACCAGGTCTTAATGGTTTGGGATTCCTATCCTGGAAAAAAAAAAAAATGGGAATATCACAAGTAGCCACTCATAGTGGATGGCCTTGCCTGTAATTATTGATAGCTTTAAGTGACAGTTGCATTTTTTTCTTGTCTCCTATCTCAGTTTTAAGTAGTGAGTCTGGTTCTGTTCACCTTTTGTGCAAAGGTGGTCTCTGTTACTCTGCAGAAATAAAATTCTCGGCCACATTTGCCTGCTTCTGCAAATGGAATCAAGAAAACCTATGGCTTCAGTTTTCACTTCTTATAGTATGTTTTCACTACATTTCTGAGTAGTAGAAGAGTGATTAGCTCCTTTTTGATTATTCCTTTTAAATTAATATACTGTTTATAGATCATGTTATATATACATGCACATTCACCTTACTGTTTTTAGGTTTGGGGGTGGAGTAGGACAATTGTTAACTTGAAGCACTATCTTGGCCAGAAATCAGTGTCTGCACTTGGTATAGGTGCTCAGCAAACACTAGCAACTTCTGATTTCTATGCCTACCCTGCACTATTATTCTAGTACCCTTATGTCTGAGATAGAGGCAGGGAACTAAAACTCAAAAGTGTGGCAGAGATCAGTCCTGGCCTAGCAGTAGAGGTTAAGGTTTACTGAAACTTGGACATGCAATCATGAGGTGATCTTTCTTATCCACACACTCCACTCTTCCTCTATTTTCCAAGATGAATATTCCCAGTGCTTACTTACCATGGAGCAGATCTTTGGCTCCCAGTGAGCAGAGGTTGGGCATTGGCCCCACAGAGGTACTACTCTCAGTGGAAGGTGCTGGGTTCTTGGCTCGCTTCTTGCATTCGAAAACCACCAGGTCTTTGCATTGTTTGTGGCAGTTCATCCCACAGTCTGTGGACAAGAAACCCTAGTCAGGAAGGCTTTCTGTTTCCTCCAGGGTCTCACAACCAAACTCATCCAGTGATCTCTTTTTCAAACATGTCTATCCTATCTTCTGGAGCTAGGATACCTAACATTCCCCATGAACCCAGCATTCTTCTCTCTTGATAAACCCTGGGCCTCACAAGCTGATCATATCCCTTATCCGTGAGTCACAGAATCAAAAGCAGAATACCTTGGAGGGAAGAGATGGTATCCAGGTCATCCTGCACACTCTGCCTACTCTAGGGAGACCCCTGGAAGCTCCCAGCTGCTAGGTCTTAACTTTTTCTTTCTTGCAGTAAAAGAAATAAAAATAAAACTTTCTCCCATTCCTGAATTATCCTACTCACAAGGAAGGACACTTTAGGTTCTGAGATATCTGCTGATAAAAGGAAAGCTGACAAGAGTCTTTTATAATCATTTATATCATATTCCAGAAGGGATTGTCCTTTTTATTGAGAATCTACCCTTCCATGAGAGTATGAAAACAGTCTCTTATCAGCTGCCCCTATTTTCAGAGCAGTCAAGGTAAAGAGAGGATCTTGTAAAGGCAAACTGTGTCACAGGTCACCCAGGTATTCCTCTCTCCTGTGTGATGGCTGTCCCTCTCAGAGTGCTCTTAGGAAGCCAATTTGAAAGTGAGGTTCTGTCTCTACCAAGAAGTTGTGGACTTCATAGACGAGTACTGCTGTTGAGAGTCCCTCAAACTAGGGAGAACAATGTGGCCAACAAAGCTGACTCTTACCTTTACATCGATATCCTTGTTTGATCACTCCCCAGAGCTAGGAGACAAATGAGAATATACATGTCATTCATCTATCTGGTGTGAGGCTACCGGGTAACACTCATTCATTTTCCTTCACTCTACTCTCTAGCTTAAATAGGAAGGACACCTATTTTATTTCTTGTCTTGTTCCTCAGACCTTAAACTGAAAGCAGGAAAAAGCATTGTTGGCCAAGCTTGACTAGTGTTTTTATGATTCAGGCCTTCTGCAGGCCTGAAATGGATGAATCAGGAGCAACAGCTGCTCTGAACTTCATACTGACAGACAAGGATATGGTCTTGGGTCAGTAACCTGGTTTAGAGGACATTTATTGGGTCAGGGTGGGACAGAGGAGGGGAGAGCTCGGGTGGGCTCTTAAAGGCAGGTTTTATGTTTTGTTTTGTTTTGACAGGGGAAGGAGGGTATCTAATATTTTTTCTAGCATTTGAAACAGCACATGAATATGATACTTCGAAATGTATATCCAAAGTCCACCATTGTTGTACCATTTATCCCAGGCCTCATTTACCAGGAATAAGAAAAAGTGAGAAAAAGAAAGATAAGGTGAACACAAATAAAATCCATACACTTGAGGACTAGGTCCTTCTCCGTGTTGCTTGGGCACTAAGCTGGGATAAGTTTGTAAGGATTGTGAAGCCCATGCCTGTCTTACTCACTTAAATGTCCTGTACGCTTCACCAAGTTCAACCCTGATACAGCCTAACAGTAACTTACAAATCCAGCGCAGTTGTCGCAGAAAGTGGGCTTCAGGTAGGTGGTCTCTTGGAAGTTGTGAGGAAAGCCCAGGCCCAGTTTAGAGTAGATAGAGCTGGCCCTCATGAAGTAGGCTGTAATCTCATCCCTGCTGATGAGGCCTTCCCTGTCAGCACATGACAGGCAAGTATGTGAGTTGAGGCACAGCCTTAGATACTCACCTTTTATCATCAGTGGCAATACAGTGTGTACTACGTGAAGATTGCTTCCACAAGCCCTCCTCATCCTAAGGATAGTGATGAGGACAGCATGTAATAAGTAGGTAAAGCAGGTTACTCAGTCCCAGAGCCATTCTTTGGCTAGATGAGGTAACTGACTTTACCACTATCTACAAGACTTGAAAAATAAATGATGTAAAATTTATTTCTAGAGAGGAAAAATGACTTATGTTATAGTTTCTGACTTTAGACAGTATATAACTAGAACCCACAGCCATATATTTGGTTTCTCATAAAGAATTATAATAGAAGATAATAACTGAGAAAAGTAAATATGCAAAATGTGAGTAAATATTAGTTCTTTCCCATAATTTGTAAGATGAAACAAGAAGGAAGATTGAACTTTTTCTTATTTGTAGTTGGCTCTTCCTAAGATAGCAGATTTATGGAATCTTCAATTTCGAGATATTTTTAAAAGCATGAATATTTCATGGTCTTTTGTCCAAACTGAAGGCAAAGAGACCTTCATTTGATGACTCTTTTATCTCCAGTATTCATTACATAATCATAGCAGCAACACATACGAGTTTACAGGTTCTTCTAGTGAAACACCTATAAACCTGTTCTCATCAGCAGGCTCATAACAACATATTCCTGTACATACATCCTCACCTGTCTTTGTCCATCACACAGAAGGAAAATGGAAAACTGGCAGCAATCTTTTCAAACTCTTCCTGAGAAATGTATCCATCCTGGTCATGATCATAGTTCTTGAAGACAGACTGAAAAAAAGGAGTGTCTGTGGTGATTACTATAGAGAAACCTATAATCTCCCTTTAGCCAAGTGAAAAAGGGGCTGGGGCAGTTGGGACAAGCCTTTTGACAGCCTGAATGAGAGGAACAAGGAAACAAAAACTGAACCCTGGATAAGCTGAGATAGAATCCATTCCATGAGTTGTGGCAAAGATGCACAGGTTGCTTCCCAGGTCTTTGCCTTTAGGGGTGGCCAGGTGCTCTTGACAATTAGCAATCAGCTATGCCATTGCACTGCTAGTCCACTGCATAAGGGGTGTTCTCCCTCCACCCTGCCCTTCTGCCATCACTCAGCTCAGATTATGCCTTTTCTGAGAAGCTCCTATGAATAGTGGAGTTGGAAGTGCTTTCTCCCTACTTTAATCCTGTTCCTCATTGTTGTGCTCTTTGATTTCTCTTGTTACACAAGAATGGCCCACAGTAATACAGGCAGAAGTATGCAAGTATGGAGCCCCTCCTTCTGCAGTTAGCATGGAGAATTGAACCAAGTAGGGCCACAATGCTCAGTTTCAGATTCTTGTTACCCTTACTATACTCAGACCTTTCCCAATTCCTCTTTGCCCCTATCAACCAGCTTTCAGACATGCTTTCTTGCTAGGTCTTTAAAGAGAGTCAGACCTGCCTCATATGAGACCAAAGTGCTAGCAAATTATACCTTCTGAACCATTCCTTAGCTACAGTATGAGAATAGGGTCCTTGTGCTCCTGCAGGAATGAGTTTCGACTTTCTCCACCTTTGTGTTTCTGTCACTGTGCTCCCCTCATCCTTGCCCCCACACAAAACTAATGCCTTGTTTCTGTCTGTTGAAACAGAGGTACTTACATCCACCATCCTCTGGACGTGTTTGCTAATGGTCTTTGGGTCTGGTTTGGGAGATACTCCGGAGGCCCAGTCTACTACTACCGGTGGCTTTGAAGGTGTTAGTGGCTAAAATGAAATATTCAGAGAAATCCATAATGTGGTATTACAACTTAGAGCCCCTTCCTTTCCCACTACCTGACAGTTCCATCTATAGATAAGCCCTGGCTGTGTGCAGTGGCATAGAGTACACATGTAACTGAAATCTGTATGAATGATCTTGATTAATAGTGTTGTGCTTTACAGTTCCTATAGAGAACTTCTCATATATTATCTCCAGCTACAGATAATTTAAAATACTCAATGTGCCCAAGTTTTATTCCTTTTCCATTATACTCTTGTCAGAGTTATCAACAAAGTAAAATGAATCATTTAAATTTGCTCTATCCTCTAGTCACTTTTTAGTAGAGAGGTGAATGAGAAAAAAAAACTAGTAAAAGGCATCAAGATACATAAGAAAAAACCAAAAACTGAACCCTAATAAGCTGAGATAGAATCCATTCCTAAATATTTGAAACTTAGCCCAAATTAAAATCTCCTCTAAAAACAGGAGAAATTCACCTTTTTACTGAAGTGTCTCTGGCACCCTGAAAATAGAACCTACTAAATATTTCCAGTGAATATTTTTCATTACAATAGGAAGCTAGAACTTGATTTTTCTGTGTAGAGGCAGTGAAATCTAGCCCCTTTAAATAGATCAGCTGTATTTCTTATGTGCAGACAGCTATTCCCTTGAGGAGCACTGATTTTGGGGTTGGGAAACTTCCAAGGAGATTGAAATGATTTTACATGCCTGCAGGAGAGACAGGGCCGATAACCTCACTTTGAGGTTCCTAAGATGTGCAGTTCCAGGACTAAGTTCTATTTTGAGGACTGCTGGACATCAAGAGGTCAGAAGACCCAGCAAACTGCTCTTTCTGTGAGGTCTGAATCTGACATCAGAAATAATAGGGCTATTCTACCTACCATGCCAGAAAACAGAAGTAAAGCTTCTCATTAGTATGCATATCTTCCCCCTCATTAACAAATCATAGTAAAACAACTTATGTGGGGACACTTTTCATAGGAAAATGATGTCACTCCAGTTCATAGTACTATCTCCCTTCTCTAATTTGTAAACCACTGACTGATTCCACCACTCAAGACGCTCTCATGGTATATAGTTTTTACTGTTCATAGTCATCCCTTCAACTCGATCACAAGCTGTTTATGAACAGCAGTTGTGTGTCACTCATTTCGAGAAGCTTTATCTGTTCCTAGCTCAAGGCTGTCACATAGAAACAATATACTTATGAAACATTCTTATGACTATCTTATGAAACAAAAAAATTCTGTTTCTTAAGATAAATTAACTTGAGGAGCAACTGGTAAAGTACCACCACACACCAGTTTTAACGTGAGAAACTCACTGGGGCTCTGTGGTTCCTTGGCTCTCGTGCATAGGAAAGCTCATAAATTTCATCTTCAGTGTAGTAGAGATCCAGAGATAACTGTGGATCAAAGCAGAACAGGTTAATTGCTAGGATGCCATCTACTTACCCCAAGACTCATGTTCCTTTCCTGGTTCCTTTTCTCTAGTGGTTTAATCTTCTTGGCATGTAACAGTTTGTTTTAAAAATTCACAAAATTTGGCCAGTGTAACACCTGCTACTGCAATAGGGCAAACATTAGTTATTTCTTGTTAAATTGTTTTTAAATTTTGGAGAAGTCCCAGGATGCCCTCTTTTTAACTATGATTTCATATTTTTGGTTTAACATCTAAGCCTCTATAAGCCTTCTAAGCCCCTGTTCATTTTGTCCAAGGCAGAGATCAGCCAAGGTCAGCAACTAAAGAGAAAGGGCTAGAACACCAAGATTCAGCCTGGGGTGCTATCGAAATGTTTCTGCAAGGTAGAAAGAGGTTATGGTCATTATTCCATTTCACAAAAAGAATTGGGTTAAAACTTGTATAATTTTAGAACTGAGAGAGAAGTTAGAAGGTGTCTCTTGGAAACTAACCCCTCTGAATTCACAGAGGAAACAGACTTGGACAGTATGGGCCCACAGTCGCCCAATCAGTGAACCACAGAATTGCAGGTCTGGAAGGAAGGAAGCTCAGCTGTTTTTACCTCACACCCAAAATGCAAATCCTGGTTTCCACACCACTGACAAGAGTTTACCTACCCTTTGGCTTGGACATCTCCAGGAGCAGGGTTCTAAGCCAGGACTCAAAGAACAAACCTGCCTGTTATACTCACTGTCTCCCCGTTTTTAGATAGCACACAGTTTCCCCTTGTTTCCAATGCTATATCCTGATTTGCCCTGTGCTGCTCCTAAAGAGATTAAGACTGCTTTCATGGGAGTAAGGAAACACTCCTAGCAGTCAAAAAGGCACACTGCTCAAGAGAAATGATCTCCCCATCTGGGTCTGCATCAAGGCTCTGATACTGAATAATGTGTGGTCTCTTGGCAGGTTATGTCTATGCCCTAGCACCCCATCCATAAAGTGGAAATAGTAGTTCTATTTCATAGAGTTTTTATGAGGCTTAACTGCTCATATTTGGCGAGGTGTACCGAATGAAGCTTGTCATACAAAAATTGTTCTCAAGAGTAAACCTCACCGTGAGCAGGTGCACCAAGTCCTTGTTGGCTTCCAATGGTGGGGCTACCTCCTGCAGCTGGACCAATTCATTGATGTGATTGTACAGAGCCAGTAGCTTGTGGACATTCACCTTCCCATCTTCCAGATAGTCGGGCATAGCTTCATACAGGGAAATGAGATCCTTGAGATGCACCCCCAGAATGGGGATCTTGAAGTGGGTGCACTCCCCATAAGCTCGCCTGTAGTTGTCATAATTTCTGCAGGAGGACAGCAGCTCAGTCATCTCACCCAGAACCTACAAAGTAGAACAGACCAGTCACAGGTACTCGCTGAATATGGTATGTTGTCTGTAATGGCTGACTTGCTTATTCTCATTCCCTGCCATGGTTTCACTCTATCCATAAAAGGTAGAGATAGTGGCTTCCAAACTAACACTGGCTATATCAAGTGTCACAGAATACACTACACACTTTACTTGATTTTACTACATAACTTAAAGAATTTAAGTAGAGTTTAATTATTTTTGTATTCAAATTATTTCTTTTCAAAAATTAATAATATAAACACCTGACATAAAAATTGAAGAGGCAGCCAGGAACAGTGACACACACCTGTAATCCCAGTGGCTCACGAGGCTGAGGCAGGAGGATCACAAGTTCAAAGCTGGCCTCAGCAAAAGTGAGGTGCTAAACAACTCAGTGAGATCCTGCCTCTAAATAAAATACAAAATAGAGCTGGGGATGTGGCTCAGTGGTCGGCACCTGCGTTCAATGCCCAGTATACACAGACACACATAAAAATAAAATCTGAAGATTTTTATTTATTTTACAGAGGTACATACAATAAATAACAAGTATCCCTTTAGTCCTGAGCCAGGGACACTGTAGTTCTTAACATTTGAAATGTGATGTCAGAAAGTGCTGCCTTTGTGGCTGGCAAGGGGGACGCATGTGTTTTAACTGTGGAGCTACAGTAGCTTCTTGCATGTTACTTTCCTTATGAAGCCCTCTATGGAGCTTTATCTCAAGACAGAGCTCTTCTCCAACTGTGAGAAAATTTGAGTATTCAGAAAGTCATTTTCCAAGTGTTCTGGGAAGCTTGGGTTTTAACATGTCACTATACACTTGACTTGCAAACTGAACTTTGGTTAACTGAACCTTACTCCTTTTGGGAAAACATTTTGGAGCAAGGAGCTGGGTCAAGGGAATCAGCAGTAAAGATGGTGACTGAATATTCAGTTGCCTATGAACTTGGGAAAGACATATATCATTTCAACTGGCCCAGCAGGAAGGTGTGCAGTGACACTGTCTTATGATCAGACAGAATCATAAATACTCTCAAATCTATAACTTTCCAATCCTATGGATTTCCTTAGGGTTTGCCTCCCTGGTCCTTTCCCTGGTTGATGAGGTGTGGTGTGGTTTGGAAATGCTGATCTGAACCTTAAGGAGAAAATGGTTCTGGTGTTGGGAATGCTCCTAAGGGCCGGAGAGAAGATAGTAGCACTGACCTTATTGATTTCATGTGGGACATGCGAACTGGTCTCCTTGAGCCTGGAGATTGAGCTGTGACATAGCCCCCCTATTACAGCCATCAATGTATTGAAGTTCTGTAGCTGGTGGAGTTTCTGTGACACGAGACAAGACAGCAGAGTCATTGTACATGTGAGTTATAAGGGGAGTTTAGAGGCTGACTCTTGTCTCTGCCACGAGTCTTCCTTATACCCATCAAAGACTGGTAATCAAGAATTGCACTTTTCTGTTTCTCTCTCCCTTTCAGCTGAATTCCAGATGAATGGATCCTAAATTACAAGGTGTCACATCTTTCTCTCTTTGCTGTAGCTGATCTGTGACCACCATCTAAATCAGTGGTGTCCAAGAATCACCCTGAGCATTTGTTGAACTCAAAAACTGTTAAACCCAAACCAGACATTCTGATTCCCTGGATCTGGGATGGGCTTAGAGATTTCTACCTTTAATGAATATCAGAGTAGGTGGTCCAGGTACCAAACTTTGAGCAACACTAGTGTATATCATCCAGAGTTGGAAAAATATCATTAAGTATAATGTTTTATTGGTTTACCCCAGATTTATCAGTTTGTTTTATTCTTGAGCATAAGGAGTTTGTCTTTAGGCAATGTTCAATGCCTGAAGACATAAGAAGGGATACAGAAACTGGAATCTCTACCCCTTAGACATTAAATCCAACTAATGCAGCATGAGCTCCAAGACCTAAGAAAACCCAGGCTGGTTTGGCTCTAGCAAAACAGAACTTCCTTGACTTTTCCATGTGGACCAGATTTGCAAAAAAAAAAAAAAAAAAGGAAAGAAAGAAAGAAAAAAGGTAAGCATCTTCTGGAAAATGTTAAAAGATCTACATGTGAATCCAGCTCCTGAGATGGCCTGTATGGCCCTCCACATTGTCCTTGGGTGAGAAAATTTAAAAATCACACCTAAATTAGGGGACAGTTGAAGCACATAAGGCCTATAAAGTTCAGGAAGAACAGCTCAAACCAATAGAGTAGGCTGAAAGGAAAGGGAATGGATGATTTAACTCAGAGACCAGGCAAAAATCTTAACCCACTCACCTGAGCCACATGGATGAACTTGATGAAAACTTCTGCCCGGAGCTGCGGGGTGGGGCGGCTGAGAACCATCAGTTGTACCCACTGGGAGATGCCATTGCACAGGGCAATGGATCGCTCCATGGTGGGGTTCTCCTTCACACAGCTATTTACAAGGTAATTTTGATAATCAGAGAACTGGGGGGGGAAAAACAATCATCAGAACTGTGCACTGGTATTCTGGGAAATCTGAGGGACAAGTCAGCTCTGCTCAGTAGTAGCTGGGATATGCTATGGGACAGACAAACTTGTATCCTCCCCTCCGACATCTCTGCCATGAGGCCAAAAGGAATGATGGGAGGGAAATCACATCATGGCCCGTGTACATGAAAATTAATTAGGTATCAGTGGATAAGTACACACCCTAATTAATCTAACTGTTGTTTTTGAGTGGATATTGTTTGTGTCTCTTCTAGATTCTAAAAACACTGTAGAACTATTTCACCATTAGTTCTGGCTCTGCTGCTAAATTTGAAAAAAATAATTCCCTTCACAAAAACAAATCTTTCCCAGCTATTTTCTTAAAAATATGATAATAAAATCTCCCCTATTTAGGACATAAAGTTATCTCAATCAAACAAGATAATATATGAAAGCACTTCTAACTTTTTGAAGTGCTATATACATGCAAAGTGGTGCTAATAGGATAATTATTATGCTAAAACAAGCCTGTTTGGATTTTCTTCTGCTAACTTGAACAGAGGCCAAAGGAAAGGGCTACATGAGACGTGGTTAACTATATATTCAGTGACCATAGTTTCCCAAACAAGACAATGGCATTTTCTGTGGTTTACAACAAAACAGCATATGTGAAATTGGAAATGTCCTGGAAGATCTGGTATGTGATGCCTGTAGACATTATGTCCCTGTCATAAGATTCTTTCTGCTCACACAGTGTAGCCAAGAGGGAGGAATGGTCTGTTTTCTTCCAACACTCCTATGGGAGTCTTTGGAGCTATGCCCAGTCTGAACTCTTCTCAGTGAAAGCAGGTATGGCCACGTGGCATAACCATAGGATTTGAGGGAAAGATCTAAGAGCCAATGAATGATTTACCACATTGCCATTCGTTTGCCACAGAGATAGTGGCAATTCCTGAGAAGTTGAAGCTGCTATTATCTGGGTCCTGAGTCAATGATCAACCCCTGCTGACCCGTGTTAGACATGTCTCATATTACTTAGAGTGAAAAATGAATTTTTGTGTTGTTAACCATTGAGATTGCATGTGTGTGCATGTGTTGGGGGGTGTTACAGCAGTATGCCTTAGTCTTGCCTTAAGAGTAGTATATAACACCAATGAGAAGCAATGAGGTTATAATACCAATGAGATTATGTAACCTAAATAAAAGAGCTGTAAATTAAGAAGGTAACCATTTTACTGTGTGGTGATTGCTGATGGGTAGAGAAATCTGAGTAGGACCAAAACTACTCCTTTAAGGAGACATAAGAGACACAGAAACCAAAAGTGTTGGGCTGCAGATAAAAAACACAGTGTCTGAAACAAGTTAAAAGTTACCATGATTCATTCCAATGAATAGCCTCCCACTGTAGAGACACCATTGCATCCCCTGGTTGTTGCTGCTGTTTTTAAGAATTAGCCTCATAGGCTCATCCCTGCTAAAGAATTGCAACAAACAAGGTTCCCAGCAGAGATAAATTTCCCTTCAATCTCAGTTGGAAAGAAAAGTGGGAAAACTCTTTAGGACTACGTGGGGAAAACAAAAAAATTCCCTGAAATAGTCTTCTATAAAACAAATCAAACCACTCAAAAAGAAATGAAGGTTCAAACTTTTGTTTTTAGTCCGAAATAGAACACTTATTCAACCCCCAGGGAGATGGGCTAGGATTGCTTGTTCTGAACTGATTTTTCACTTCTGCCTGCAATGATCTGAACACTGGCATCAAACAGATGTCCTGCAGGCCTGACTGAACAGCCCTGCCAGTTTCTCCCCAGCAGAGCTCAGATTTCCAGTGTGATAAATAACCCTTTTCAGTGGCTCTCAGCTGTGCCTGGTGTCCTGCCCCACGATAGGGGAGGCGTTGCCAAATGGAAACTCCCCAAATGAAGCTTTACAATGGGGCTGAGTGTCTGGGGGTGCAGGTGAGGGTACTGGGACTCCAAGAACAGGTTAATACTTGAAGACTTATTTCTAAGTAGAATGGAGGGTTCCTGGCTGGCTGGCCAAACAGCTATGATGACAACAGAAGTCTTGTCAATATAATGGGAAAGAATGAAATAACCTGGTTGGCATGTCTCTTTCCAGATGCAACTAGGTTCAATAAATTGGTGCTGAGTGACTAGGAGATGTAGTCCCAGCCCTGGCTCTTGACTCTGTTAAGCTGTACTGACTTTGCTCAAATCAGGCCTCTAGGCCTCCTCTCTCATCTGGGGAGCACAGGTCATTCTAGAATACACTGGGCATCTTAGTACTCCCTAGTTTTAGAGCAAAGCTGAAAACTGTACCTGCTGGCAGGAGTGGAGCCTGAGTGGAGTAATGGTGTCTGTTCTTAGGAAGGTGTATTGGCCAATGAGGGTCTGTTGGCACCTGAAATGTTGACAATTTCTCTTGTATGGAAACAATGTGCTCTGGTATGACACATGAGGATGCATGTGTGTGCTCTCCCTGTTCCTGGCAGTATACTGAAATCTCTCTCCAGCATCACTTCTTTTGGCTCTGCTTAGTTGCCCCAGTAGCAATGATAAGGTCAGCACAGTTTATCTCTAGAAGTATGACTGCTGGGCCATGTCAGCACCACTCTAGGGGTTTAGGGATATTTGAGTTAGGCTAGGAGTGTATTTTCTACTTTAGGATTTCCCAGAATCATTCAAAGCCTACCCTTGAATGAATTTAAACTTCTAGGGAGACATATCCCAGTTTTATTTTTTTAGGAAGATATAAAAGAAGTTCTGGAAGCCTAATGATCATCGCGGGGGGGAGGGTGTGTGTGCGTATATTCTCGCATATGCACGTGTGCAAGGTCCCTGCGTGCCCAAAGTGCATTACTGGAGCAAGTGTTGGGGTGGGGTGAAGTGGGTATGGAGGATGTGAGATGGAAGCACAGCAGAAGCAAACCAGGAGAACTCAGATGTACTGATTTTCCAGACTGTATGATGGTTTACTGGGAAAGCCTACCAGCACTGCTGGGGCCCCTAGTGTTAGTTAAACCAACTGTTTGCTCAATTTCTCTGCTTATTTTTAGAAATTTCCCAGAATAGGTTTTCTCCTGCCCCTTGGGTACATACTGATATCCTTCGAAAGGACTTGAACTCAAGGTAGGTGAGATGCTCAGATAGCTCTTCTGGTTCCAGATGGTCAAAGAGCAGGGAGACTTTCCGTTTCTTGCTGGTATTTGATTTTATCCTTTGGGTAAGTTTCCTGGACCAGTCACGGGCGTTGCTTTTGTGGGTAATTGTGAGAGGGAGAAGACAAGGAGAAAGAATAAATTCCAATTACTTTTTGCAAATATATCCACTGGTTTCGTCCACAGGATATGCAAAGCACCAAGAGCTTTGCTTGGCTAAAACAATGCATTAACAGAATTTCTCCAGATCAGTTTTTTTTTTTTTTCCCTGTGGTAGCAACCAGAAAGCCTTGGTGGTTTTCAAGTAGCCTTTTGAATATATCTTGGAGAACAGGGTAAATGAGTTTACTCTGAGGCAGTGGAAGGAGAGTTTCAGGCACTGGTCACAGTTTCCTTGCCTTTGGTCCAGGCTCCCTTGTGTATTATGCCTGCTCTCCCAATGCTTTTGTTCCTGAATTCTCATGAGAGAGACAGAAGAGTGGAAATCTGAAGGCAGTGGGACAGTTCTCATGCCAGAAGAGCTCAGAGAACCACAGAGAGAAGACATCATGCTGGAAGGAATTGTGTGTAGAACAAGTGATCGCCCAGGGCAGATTTGAGTCATTTTCCTCCACTGTCCCCAGCCACTGAAATGACCAAGGAAACCTAGCTGACCCTAGAGTGCCCCTACTCCTCTAGTTCCTCATAAGAAACCCCTGTGTCTTTTATGGGGTTTCAATTTCCCCCAACAAGACGGAAGCAGAGGAAAGCAGACCAGTTTTGAAAGGCAGTAACTTGGAAATTTGTGTGTCCCAAATTGGTATCCCTAGATACCTTGCCTCTGATACAAGAGTTCTGTGATCAAATGAGCTTAGGAAATGCAACAGATTCTGTAGCCATCTTGATCGGTGAGTATACTACAAACTCTAAATTGCATTGTAAAAGCGAAATTTAACAGGTTATTTCTGAAGTACATCTAGTCAGATAATACCCCACAGATTATAATTCTGTGGAAAATATTGGTACAGGAAAGTCAGCTAGGAAATATTAGGACAGGAGACCTAAGTTTGACAACTTCTCTAAATTCTCCATCTTCAAAATGAAAAACAAATTTTTACTTTGAAAACTCTCTTTAACCTTTCAAGATATATAATTCTAAGCAAAGAAGTACACAGAATCCAAACTGATGAACAGCCTTGTGTGGGGCTCTGGGATGTGATTTTGAAGTCACTTCTATGTAGGCAGGGCATCGTGCATTGGGAACAGGCCTCCCAGTCCAGTTTTGGCTCTGACACAGCTTATCTAGCTGTGTGACCACAGACTGGTCAGTTTCCCAGTCAGAAAACCAAGACTTTAGATGAGTTGATAGCTAGAATGTTTTTTCATTGCTAGAATTATAAATCTTAGGGATTTGTGCTATTGCAAAATAACATGGCTATGCTGTGAAAATTTTAGCATACAATGTGTGTGCACTCCTCCCTCAAACTAGGAAGGACATTCATTTTCCTGATTCAGCCAATCTAAGAAATAATAAAAATATTCCTGAGATCCCTTCCCAGCTCTAGAAGTTTAAATGATTTTCAAGACATCCGTAGATGTTATAAACCCTCTGTTGATTACGTTTCTAAGCAGTTCTTTCCCCATTTACAAGTTCAGGGTGCCTCCTGCATTGACTAATAAAGAAGCATGAATCCAGTGTTGTACTTTCAGTTTCTCAGGAGGTGGATACATTTTAGGTGAGCTCTTGCTACCTGATTTCTTTTTGACTGGGATTTATTTTTGTCCCACTCTTGGATATTAATTACCTATGGCTCAATCATGGGTTCTGTCTGCTTTCCTATTAAATGTCCATTGTACTCTTTTTTATTTTTTATTTGTTATTTCTAGTTATACGTGTCAGTAGAATGTATTTTGATATATTATACATACGTGGAATGTAACTTTCCATTCTTGTAGTTGTACATGATATGGAGTTACACTAGTCACGTATTCATATATGAACATAGGATAGTTATGTCTGATTCATTTTACTGTCTTTCCTATTCCCATCTCCCCTCCCTTCCCTTCATTCCCCTTTGTCTAATTCAGAGTACTTCTATTGTTCCCTAACCCACCCTACCCCTTTATGTTGTGTTAGCATTTGCATATCAGAGAGAACATTTAGCCTTTGGGTTTTGTGAGATTGGCTTATTTTACTTAGCACATACTCTCCAGTTCCCTCCATTTACTGGCAAATGCTATATTTCATGTTCCTTTATGGCTGAGTAATATTCCATTGTACTATCGTTCATGGTGAGGCAATATGAACCCACTTCTCTGAGATCAGAGCGCTCAGCAGGGAAGGGGAGCAGCCATCATCACAGGGACAGAAGCCTAGAAAAGCAGTCTGAGTCATAGGAGGAAGATGGTTAAAAAAAAAAATCATGAAAACCTTGACACTCACATTTGAGTTGTGTCAATTAGGCGGCAATGTAGCTCCTCACCATTGGCTTTTACCAGTTCCTGAAACTCCTCCATGGTGTTCGTCAAGCTGGCATCCATTTTAAACATGATCCAGAATTCTGTTATCCAGTACCTATGGGGAGGGAGTTAAAAACCATAATCCAACACTGAAGCCAAGGACTCATAATTGGGTGGGCTCCCAAAGGAATTTTTGATCACAAGGAGGATTCAGAAAAAGAGGATGATCCGTCCTATGGTGAAGTAGATGGGTGGGGGTGAAGTAGATGGGTGGGGACAAGGAGGGACCTAAACCATCCAGCCAAAGTCTTCAGTGTCTCCATACACAGAATGCTCTGACAAGACAGGCAAAGTAGCCAGGACATAATCATGCATCATTATGTGCATCAGTTAATCACAAAGTGAAGAACTGCAGATAAACCAAATGTCCCAAAATGGAACAATGTATCTGTAAAATACACTTTATAACATATTAGAATGTTATATGGTCATGAAAAAAACAGTGTTTTTAAGAAGTCTTTAATGACTATAGAATATACTGACAATAGAAAGCTAAGTGAAAACTATAGAATATAAAACTTTATGTATTTTTTATCTCAAACCACATTTTAAAAATCTGTGTAGAAAAAAAAAAAAGGAAATATACCAAAATAGGTAGTTGGATGTGATGACTATTATTTTCTAAATTTTTAAAATGTTGTTCAGTATTACTTTTTATAAGTAGAAATAAAAACAAGAGATCCTTATCTCTGTGTATTTCCTTAAGCCACTTGATGCCAAAATACTGTAAAATTGAAAAAAAAAAAAAAGATATGAAGTTTAAGTTCAGGTATACCAGAAGAAATTCACTGTGCCCTCTAGAGGCAGTTCTAGTAGCAAGCCTTGGTCTTTTTGGTCTGTCCAAGGGGCTTTATGGATGGTGGGGAGGGGAAGGGCAGGGAGGACCAGAAGAACTACAGCCTTTCACTTCAGCTCCCCTCCACAGAGTCTCCATGCAAGTGCAGAAACATTACCTTACAAAATAGCAGATCTTCAGGCAAAGCCCTGGTGAGTTCTTTGCCAAGGCTTCCTTATAGGTAGGGCTGTGGTTAAGGGAAATGGAAGCCTCTGTCACAGAAACCAAATAACCTCCATCTTTGAAAGTATTTACTAAAACAACTGCCTGAAATAAGGGGCACATGACCTCTTCCCTGTGCCCAAGAGGAGTCCAACTGCATCAACAAGCTAAAATGAACCTTTTATCTTTTAAAATGTAATTTTCATGCAGTGAAAAAAATTGTATAGTGAATTAGGAAAGGAAGGCATATATGTTCAAATATATTTTCATGATAATTAAGAATACTGTGAAAATTATAATAAATAAACCTAGAGGATGCCACTAGACTGACCCAGTAAACTGTGATGTCCAATCAGACAAAGCTGTGGGCATAATCCAATATATAACTGGAGATCACCTTAAAGAGTGTTGCCATTCTGAAGATTCCAAAATATGAAAGAACAGAAAAATCTCATGGAGTTTTCTTATCTGTAGAGATAGATACATGGAAAGCATACTCATTTATTTTAAAGAGTCAAAGAAATGAGAACTTCAATCCAGTGAGGAGCCTGAGGCAGGAGGTTCTGCCATCTTCCCTCCATCAATGGATTTAGGAATTAGATTATGTGGGCTGTGTATTTCACAAGCCTGGACATGGTGGTGCATGCCTGTAATCCAAGCAATTTCAGAAGCTGAGACGGGAAGATGGCAAGTTCGAGGCAACTTTGAGGCCCTAACTCAAAAAATACAAAGTACTAGAGATGTAGCTTCATGGTAAAATGCCCCTGGGTTCAGTTGCCAGTACCAAAAAAGCAAAAACATAATCACTGCAATCTATGATTGAGTGGCTTCCAGCTGAGCTCAGGAGAGGAGTGCAGTGAGCAGCCAGGAAAGATCAAAAGCCAAGGATAGTCAAAACCATATTTAGAGTTAAATATAGAAAAGCCAAGGATAGTCAAAACCATAGTGCTAATGTTTATTAGGAAGGCATTTGTGCATTTTGAAACTTTATATGTTTTAGAGCATATTAGAATGATAGCCTTGAAATTTCCATTAGGAATGTTTTAAGTGCTTCACATTTGTGGTTTTAAATTGGAACTTAAATAATTTTATGCATAGTTTTGAAACATGTAGATAATGCTAGCTTTACTGTTTATAACTTTAATTTATTAGAGTTGTAAATAATTACTTAGAATTCAGGGAGATATCTGAAGCACTTAAAAATAATATAAAATGTAAAAAATGAGTACCTGTAGTTTAAGACCATTTAAAGTATTCAATTAACATTATTCAAATTAACCAAACATTTTTCAACTGCTTGCTGACATGTACTAGACTTATACAAAAATAAGATATGCAAGCTCAACTTGAAAACCTAAAGGACTATGGTTATGAAATTTATAACTTTAATAAAGTGACTCATAATTTTAAAAATTGAATTTTAATAGACTTACTGCCTATTAAAATATGTCCTTGAGATTAGAAAACAAAACAAAAACCACACAACCCCCCTACATCAACAAAGGTAATTAAAACAAAAGTACAAGCAACTGGCAAACTTTATGGAATAAGAGGTTCTGGTGCCCACCTTTCTGCAGGTGTGAAAGGCAGAAGTGAGAATGAGATGGTTTCATATTTCTTTATGCCAAATTAATTGCTTTGAAGCTGGGATTTAAGCACAAAGCACATTTTAGATAAATACCTCTTAAGAGTCTATATTTGTAATATTCGGCTAGTTGAATTATTTTCTTTCTTTGTTAAAGGGGAAGGGACAAAAGACATGCTTCTCTATTAAAATAACAGATATACGAAATCAATATGGTGGTATTTGCCTTCCTCCTGGTTGTTCCTTATCCTCCCTTCATGTCTACTGACAGCAAATGTAGTCTGCATGTGGTTCTGTGTCATTGTACAAATCCAGTCTGTCTATCTAATGCCTAGCCTGGAGCCACTCTGAATGTTGTCTGGAAGGCTGGAAGCTGCCTGAGGTCTTCAGAGCCCAGAAACCATGATAGAGGCAGTCTCTGCAGGCCAGGCAGAGCTCCCTCTTTCCAACTCTAGGAGATGAAACAAACTTAGTAAGAGGCTGAGGCTCTGCTACTCTGGCGTGAATTGCAGGGTTTGCTGGAAGCCTCAGACTCTGGCCCCCCTTTCTTCTTTTCACAGCTCCTACTATGGCCAGAAAGCACCAGCACATGCTGACCTTACTTTTTAGGCATCTAAACTATTCAATGCATGTTTTAAAATCAATCTCTCTCTCTCTCTCTCTCTCTCTCTCTCTCACACACACACACACACACACACACACACACACACAAACACAATGAAAAAGAGGAAACCATCTGAGCTTATTTAACTAAAAATTCTCTTATTTCCAGGTGAAAGAACAAGGAAACCAAGAGCGAAGGAAAACATCATTTTGCTGTCAGTGTTTAACCTTTCCATTACAGAGTCTTCTTTCATACTGCCTGTCTTAGAATCCTGTCTTTCACCCTAGCTTTCTTTTTAAGCTAAGCAAAGCCTAGATATCTAAAAAGTTTGGGTATAAAGAGAAAAGTTATCCCAGTGCTTTGTGTCCATATGTTGCAACATTGATTGCACCCTATCATGAGATGGCAACTAGGCTCAGAGAAACAAAGGTGGAGTAAGCCTTTGTCCCTGCCCTTGGGGGGCAATCTAGTGTAGGGATGATTTGCAAATACGTAAGTGAATGTGCTTTAAAACATACTTATATTGCTCTTAAAGTAATTTGTGATTTAATTAATTTTGCAGTACCCTTGCAATCTTTCATATTAGTAACAACATTCAAGCCTCAGCAGCTAGACTCGGTTACTTGACACAGTCATTAGCCAGAGCGCACAGTATTACATGCAAAGCTTAGAGACAGATCAGGTAGATATCTTTAGTTAGTTCACAGAATAAAAACACTTCACACTTTCTGCAGTCACAGATGAGAAGCTGAAAAGCTTCTAGGCAGATTACCTCCAGGCTAGAGGGAGACACACTTTGACTGAAGCAATACAAAACTAAAGTCAAAGCAGTTAAATAGATTTTCAATCAAGAAGACTATCTTCAACCACCACAAGTATTTTTAAAAGAAGAGAAGGCCTGAAAAGTCAAGGAAAGGCTCCACAGAGAGGGTCTTGAAAGGAAAACATTTAGTTAGGCAGAGGGAAAAACGGGTTTCCAGGCCCAGGCATCTCAGAGGCCCCTTAAATCTGGAGCATTGAGGAATCCAGGGTAGAGGGAAAGAGGCTCCTGGGAGAGCTGTAGGATGCAACAGGGAGGGTGGATGGTGTCAGAGGCAAGATGCAGCAGGGAGTGGGGGCAGGCTCACACTGTGGAGGCATTTTGCAGGCAAGTTGAGGAGTCAGACATGAATCCTAGTAGTTGGCAGAGGCTCCAAAGCAAAGCCTGCCCAATTTGTTTTTAGGATGTGAGTTAATATCCAGGTGTGGATAATAACCAGACAGGAGAACCATATAAATGAGAAGACCAGTAGGGGGCAGAGGTCTGGGATTGTGACAGTGGGGACCTGGACAGGGATGGTGGTATAGAAATGAAGGGACGAGAGCAGAAACAGGTCATTTCTGAAGCAGAAACCCTGGGACTGGGTGGCAGATTCTGTAGGAGGTGAAAAGCAGGGAGGATTCAGGACTGCTCCTGATGTTTCTGGTTTTGGCAACTGGATGGATAATGACACCACCACCTGAAACTGAAAATGAAGATACTGGTGCCAGTGTGGAATATAATAAGACTGTGGGTAGTTGGGGGTGGTAGTGGTGAGCAAATGAACATATTAAGGTGTTTGGATATGTTAAGATTGAAGTGTGGGCACAAAAAACTAGTCCAGACCTTCAAAAAATGGCTTAGTTTACAGAAACATAAATTGGAAGAAGTCACCATCAGCATAGAACCACCATGGTGGACATCCTGGGGAGAAACCGCCCATGGAAAGGCAGTCAAGAGAATGGAACACTGGGATGCTATCCTGGGATTAAAGTGGTGCTCAGAGAAGAGGCCAGATGAGATGCTGGAGAAGGCACAGCCTAAAGACAGAGACCCAGGAAGGTCCTATCCAGGAGCCCTGGGGGAGAGCTGAAGAGAGCTGAGGGTTGCAGGCATTGGTGATGCCTACTACTTCTGGAAGGTCAGTGTAAACAAGGATGGGAAAAAGGCCCCTGGGCTTAGCAATTGGGAGGTCACTGCACTGGTGACATCAGAGAAAGTATGAGTCCTGGGGTAGGCGCCATGGTTGACTTACAGAGTGCGTAGGAGTAGACAGATTGAAGATAATGCAGACTGCTTTAAGACATTTCTGCATCAAATTTCTAACAATAGAATGAAGGGGTGGCAAGGTTAAAAGTTTAGTTTTTTAGGTTAAGGACACTTGAATGTGTGGCTCAGTTAATGGGCAGGTGCCCCTGAAGAGGCAAAGTTTGGAAGTACAGGAGGGAGATGAAATAACTCATAGGGTGATGGCAGGGCAGAGGGGGCCAACTCAAGGGAGCACCCAGTGCATCCCGAGGGTGAGCACCCAGGGTACAATTTAGTTCAGAGGCTCTCAAACAAATTTTTAAGGAGGAGTACATAATCACTGACACTGTTTACAATCACTCATGCATGCAGTCAATAAAAAGCAGACAGACTTTGAGTCAGTGTTACTGTGGTTTTAAAATTCTCTGCAGAGGAGGCTTCCCACTTATTACCTGCACCTCTCATTACCGGGACCTTTCTCAACAAACACTATACCCTTGGGACGCTCTTAGAAACACCACCTTTGAGATGAGAGATAAAAATTTCTGAGCACATTTAGAGGAGGGATTCAATTTTACCTTTTTTTGTTTTGTTTTGTTTTTTGATGTGCTTAGGATTGAACCCAGGGCCTCATACAAGCTAAGCAAGTACTCTACCATCAGGTACATCCCCAGACCTTTCAATTTTCATTTTTGAAATAGGGTCTTACTAAATTGCCCAGGCAGTAATCTACTTGCCTCAGCCTCCAGAGTCACTGGAGGCATGGGCCACTGCACACAGCAATTTTTAAGTTTTAGTATTTTTTTCTGTGTGTGGCAACATGAAATGGGGAATTAAAGCAATGAAGGATTACAGCAGCAGTCACAAGTCATGACTCAGTCCCAGGGGCTTGGGCCTCAGGTGCTAAACAGTCTCACCTCCTCTACAGCCTTTATTTCTTGGGGGCTACATCCCCCAGTGTCATTTGTGAGAAGAAGGAGGAGGAGGTGGGTCCTTCTCTGCCCTGCTTGGTTCACACCCCACGGGAAGGCTAACATTCATCAGGGCTTGCTTGGTGCACAGTCAATGTCTCTGCCAGAAGCAAGAGGCACCAGCAGATTCTCCAGATGCTCTTGCCTTGGGAAGCTTTCTTCAGAGCCTGGAAGGCTGAGAACTGGGCAGGGAAGCCAGAAAGGAATGCATCATTTGAATCATGCTGTTGTCCTTGTCAGTTTGTTCAGGATAAACATGAATTTTGACTACTCTACAGGAAAAGTAGTTTTTAGTAGAGGATAGGAAAGGGAGCAGAATACAATAGTTGCTAATAGGGCACTATGTAAAAATGTGGATATGTAACAGATGTGATTCTGCAATCTGTATTTGGGGTAAAAATGGGAGTTCATAACCAACTTGAATCTAATGTATGAAACATGATATGTCAATAGCTTTGTAATGTTTTGAACAACCAATTAAAAAAAAGAGAAAAAAAAAAAAGAAAAGTAGTTTTTACTTGCAAGAGATACTGAAGGTGACCATGTTTGCACCTTTGACCACTTGCAGAGAAATCAGCATCAGTACCAGTTTCCCACTCAATGCATGAATGAACATGATACACAAATGAATACATGAATGAATATGCACACATTCCATATAAAAGGAGATGGACATTTCTCACTCAGGCTATTCCAAACCAAGCAAAACGAAAGCATGCTTCAAATCTCCAGCTACTTTTGGAATAGATCCCGTTCTGGCATTCCAGCCACTATGTTAAAGGATATAGGGTCATAACTTTTTGCAGCAGGTCCGCAGAGGAGATGATGATTCGGTGCATGGTCAGCATGACTTGCAACAGCTGGTTACTTCGACACAAGTTCCCATCTGCATCTGAAAATATAAAGAGCAGCATCTGAGTCAGGTCCAGTCAGGCATCTGGTGACACCCTCCTCTTCCACTGCTCTGGAAGCTGGCCAGAGCATGCCTCAGGCTCATCCCTCCTTCTTGGCTTTTCTCTCTTCTTGCTGTACTCTATCTTCTCCCAAGTGTCCATTTTGATGCTCATTAGTCCCCTTGCCCCAAAGATGATAAAATCTTGAAAAAAGGATAAAATCTACATCAATACACCTAAGTGTCTGTTGAAAGCAGAGGCAGTCCAGGTTTTGTGAGGCCTAAAGTTCATATGATGCAGGATAAACCTCCCTAGGGTCATAATGAGAAAAGTTACAGTATAAATTGATTGTAATTAAAATACCTTACTTTCAAAACGTTTTACAAAAATGTATGATCACTCGAATAGGGCCCTCCCACAACCTTAGGAGTGAATCATGCAAATGAAAGGCCCTAGAATGAAAATTCTCCTAGTTTCATGGTTAATGTGCCTCTGGATTGAAATAAAGGAGACAGATTAGAAGCAAACATGACATTGGAAGGTTGTCAGTAGATTACAGGTATTCATGTTGATTTGTATTGAAGAGCTTGGTTAGCTGGGTTTTCCAAATCCCACCTGGTAACAGATAATAAGATGCATTCTATACACCAGCAACGAACATAAAGATTCCCTTGAAGTGGTTTTCAAAACCTTTTCAACATGTGTGGTATGAAGTGTCAGGGCCAGAGCTGATTACTTATTGCCATATCTACTCTCTGGTCTTCAGCATGAATTACATCACTGGGGCTCCCTTACCAGCTGAGTTCAGCCATTGGGAAACAGGAGCAAGAGATGGGAGGAAAGTCAAAATATGTCTTTCTCATTTCCTCTCTGCCTTAACAGCACATCCTTGATAGTAGCTACATGCAATTGGATGAATAATCACATGGGTTGGCCCTTCCTTCATGACTACAGCTCTGGCTGGGATATCAAACTGTTTATCTCTTTGACCCTTAGTCTAAGGGTGGTAATGACTTAACTGTTGACAGTTTCTAATGCAACATCTTTTAATATTTCTTCATTTACAGAAATTAAGTGAATTCTATTCCTAGCCAGGAATTTGAATGGTTCAATGAAAAGCAACAAATGAAAGAATATACATGAATTGTTTGTCATCTGTATTGCTATTTAAAATATTTTATAGAGGTTAGGCCTGGTAATCATAGAAACTTGGGAGGCTGATGCAGGAGGATTGCAAGTTGGAAAACAGCCTGGGAACCTTTGAAAGACCCTATCTCATGATAAAAAAGGACTGGGGATATAGCTCAGTGGTAGAGCACCCCTGGATTCAATGATCAGTAAACCCCCGGTCCCCACAAATACACTATAGAAAAGGGTTGTCATTTTTATTTTCTTTCACATTTATCAAATTGTAAACAAAGGACATAGAACATTTGGGCCCAGAAGTTCTGATGCCTCAAATGAAACCTAAAGTCTTAGTTCATTGAGAAAACACTGTAAACTGACAGGCTCCTCCCTCCCTACCGCCAAATCCACCAATTTACTGGTGCCCTTCCTACTGCCCTTTACCATGGAAGACCTTTCATAGTGGAAGACCTTGTATAGTGCTCCAGTCTCCTCTCCTCAAGGACTCTGGTGCTGCACCTGGCCACCTTCTCTCCTATAATCCCAATACTTTTCTCTCTACTGGTTTACTTCCACTGGCATTCCATGTGCCCCTGTATCTCCCACTTGAAACAAAATGAAATAAAAACAGAACCATAACTCTCCTCCTAGTCTCCAGCTTCCTCTGCAGCTTTCTGTTTCCTTTCAGCAAAAACTCACTGTCACTACTTTCTTACCTCCCATTTACTCTTCCATCATTCCATTGTGACTTATTCCATTCCATTATTCCATTAAATATTTTCTTTCTAAAGTTACCAATGTCAAAGGTTACTTCATTGCCAAATCCAATAGTCATACCTCTATTCATGTTATTTCATGATTCAATTGCATTCAACCCAAAAACACAACCCAAAGTTGACAACTCTCCTTCCTGGAACACTTTCTTCCCTTGGCTTCCATAACATCACATTCTCTCACTTCTCTCTCACGCTCTTCTTCTGTCTCCTCTTCCTCTGCTAAGCTCTTAAATGTCATCATGCTCTATGGCTTAGTCTTCCCACTTCTTTTTTTCTAACATTTAAAAAAATTGTTTAAACTTCTTAAATTTTAAATTTAAAAATCAACTTTCTTTTTCTAGTGAAATCATTCAGTCCTATGACTGAAATACCAGCTCTATGCTGACAACTGCCCAACTTATGTATCTTCAGCCATGACCACCGAATTAGTATGCCCAGCAGCCTACCTGGAAAATCCACTTGGAAGTGCAAGTTCAAACTTAACTCACCCAGACAAAATCAGGACTTTCTCCTCCCAGTTCATTCCTCCTCCATTTGTCCTCATCTCTAGAAATGGCACAACCAACCATCTTCAGAGTTGCCCAACCTAAAAGCCTGGGAGTCATGCTTCATTTCTCATTTTCCTCATATCTAATCCATCAAGATGTCTTGATTTTACTTTCAAAATATATCTCACTTGTCTCCATCCTTGCTATAACCCTCATTCGGCCACCATGATGCAATGAATTGACTTCCCTGCTTCTACTCTGGTTCACCTATAGTCCATTCTCCACACAGTAGCTAGAAGTGAGCTCCTGAAAACTATAAATCAGGTCATGTGCTTATATTAATATACGTTAACAAATTCCATTATATTTGGTATAAAACAAACCCCTTACTGTAGCCAGCAGAGCTTCACCTATTCTACCTCTTTTAATATTACCCACTTCATTTTTTTAACCACATTACTCCTCTCCATGCATCTGTGTATACCTCATACTCCAAGCTTATTCCTACCTCGTGGCCTTTGCATTTGCTATTCCCCTCCACATAGTCTTTCTTCCCTTGATTCATTCATGTTATGTAAATCTCAATCATCACATCCCCAGAGAGGTCTTCCTTAAATTACCTAAGGTACCCATTCTCCTGCCTGAGTTTCTTCATAGCACTTATGTTCTAAAGTTATCTGGTTATTTTTTCTTTAATTTTTAATTTACAGAATTTCCACTAGAACACAAACTTCATGAAACCTAAGCCTTCTCTGTTTTTTTCCCACAACCTATTTCTAAAACCTAGAACAGTACCCACAATGGGATGCACTCTAGGCATGTGTTGAGTAGATGAGTGAACTCATTCATGCCTCTCTGGAAACTGAGTTTGCTTGTAATTAGTTATATCATTGACTGTGTATAATATACACACTTATTTTCTTCTCAGCCACAGTTTTCAAAAGAAACTCAAAATTACAATTTAGTAAAACATTTTAATGAAATATACATGGTTATAGCTGTGTAAATCTTCCATTAATTCTTCTGTACTCATACTCTGGTGAGGTACATCTAGCATTGCTTTCTCTGTTTTCTGGCCCACATAATTTCTGTGATAATTGTCTCTTGCCACAAAATACTGCAAAACAAACTATGCCAAAATTCAGTAGCTTAAAATAGCAACCATTTATTTTTGCTGAAGTGTCTCAGCTGGGGGGCAAGTGATATAGGCTGGGCTTTGCTGGCGCACTACTCCACATATCTCCCTGCTTCCTTGGAGCAGCAGCCTATCAGGGACAGGTTCTTCTCATGATGGCAGGGCACTGAAAGGTAACTAGAAATATCCAAGGCCTCTTGAACTTAGTCTTGGAAGTGGAATGCTGTCACTTCTGCCTCATTCTGCTGGCTAAAGTAAGTCATATTTCTGAATCTAAAGTTGAAGGGAGGGAACTTCAAAGTCACATCGAAGATACCAGGCACAGGGAAGGTAAAAAAAAAAAAATTGGTGGCAAGCATGCAATCAAACCCCCATAGCTACAGAGGGGTAACTTCTTAATGCAGCATTTGACAATAGTTTTTACAATGTGGACCTCTTCACAGGGATGGCAGTATTTATATTCTTTAATAGTGAAACTGCAATATGCAGTATACTTAAAGGTATGCATTAGAATGTTCCCATGTGCTCCATGAGCTATGGACACAGGCCCAGGCTTGGTAGGTATGGACAGCACTCAAGACTTGCTATCTAATTTTCCCTTTGTGGCTGACTATAGTACTTAAGAGGAGGCATGACACTTAATAAGCATTGCTGTCATTCACATAGCAATTATCATTACTGAAGCCCTACTTAATGCCAGGGGCTGTGCTAAGGACTTTAATAATGTTATTTATAATTCTCAGAAGACCCTGCAATGTTGGCGTTATTCACTGTTTACAGCTGAAGAAATTAAGGCATAGTGAGGTTAGGAAAGGGACAATGAATGGCAGAGTTAGGATTTAGCCCTAGGTCTGTTTGATTCCAGAACCCCTGTTCTTTCCATCACACCTGGTTGCAATCTGCAGGCCATCTGTTGGGAGAGGGAGCCAAGAATTAAATGGGAGGCTAATGAGGGTGAGTGCTAAGAACTCTTCCAGTCCTTATGACTATAAGAGATGCCATGAGGATCCTGGGTTGGAGCCAAGGCACACTTGGCAGAATGGCTTTATATTCTGGTGAATTCTTGAAAACTCTTGAAAGCTTTGGTCACTTGGTCCTAATCTTGAAAGTTGCCTTTAGGAGGAGAACCCAGGTGGCCATGCCTAAGAGTCACAATTGTTCACACTTTACCTTTACCTTGTGCCTCTTCTAGAGTTCCAGTGACGTTCCCACACTGCAGCTTGTGAGTCCTACCATGTTCTATGTGGGGGTGAGTGCTGGCAAATGTTAAGACCAGAGGGGATGACTCACTCCACAAGAGGAGGCAGAGATGGGGTGAGGGAAAGAGCAAGGAGACTTTCCACGGCTAGTCAAGAGCTCCACTGCCTCTCCCTCCTGGTTCTTTTTCAACAAGAGAACAGCCCAGTGTAGTCACTTGCCCTCATTCCCACCACCATCTCTTCCCCATGTGACCATCAAATGCCAGATGAGCTTAT